TAAATGATTTAATTATTTTTAAATATGAAAACGTAAATATAGAAATCGTTTATATGGAAGGTGTTAATCAATTGTTTTTAAACATAATATTTGAAATGATTTAATTATTTTTAAATATGAAAACGTAAATATATAAATCGTTTATATGGAAGGTGTAAATCAATTGTTTTTAAATATAATATTGAAAATGATTTAATTATTTTTATATATGGAAACGTAAATATATAAACAGTTTATATGGAAGGTGTAAATCAATTGTTTTTAAATATAAAACGGTGAAACAATGAAATAGTTGCATACAATGAAGATGACAAATTAATACAGTTTCATACAGTGAACCAGATTCACACATGTGAATAAATACTGTGAAACAAATTCACACATGTGATTAAATATTGTGAAACAGATTCATACAATGAAGAAATACATGTTCATCTAGTTAAGAAATACAAATTAATACATTGATGAAATACAGTTTCATACATTTTCATTTAATGAAATAGTTGCATACAGTGAAGAGGACAGTGATGAAATACAGTTTCATACAGTGAAACAGATTCATATGGTGATTTAACGATTTTACTCTTTTTTTAATTAAAAATTAAACTTTTTTTAATTTCCTAATATAACACTATTTAATCTTGACCATTGATCAAAAAAATGGATTGATGAGATTGGTTTTGTAGGGTTTTCAAAAATGAGGATGGTTTGCAATGGATCGCAACAATATATAGATGAGCGTTCAAATGAAAACTGCCTCCATTTGTGTAAACCGTGTAAACCAATTTCATCCATCCATTTTCTTGATCAATGATCAAGATTAGTTTACTTTATTTTAGAAAATTAAAAATAAAAATATTAAAAATTTAATTTTATATCAGTAATAAGGACAAAATGGTAAACAAAAATACATATTATGTAACATCCTATTGAAGGACATTATCTTTATTTTAAGAAATTAAAATTTTCTATTTGTTAGGAAATAATTTCGCTAATGCAACAGCCTTTTTATTCCTTATCCTGGAATTGTTTCAATGTCTTTCACACACCCATGTAAATATGCACCCTATTTATTATAAAATATTTCAAGACGCACCGTTTTCATCATAAATCCATTTCAGCATGTAGTTATTTCATGACAAACCGCATACATTATGCACCCGTTTCATTTTGCATTTCACCTACCAAATGGATCAACTACACCATCACTGAAAACTGGGTTCACCATCAAACCAGTTCACTATTCATTGTTCAATTACGCCATGAACTAGTTTCACCTTCATGAAACTTGTTTCATGTACATAGATTAGTTTATTTCGCTCATGATTTGATGAAGTCATTCCTTTAACCCTTACAATCTTAAAGATTATGTAGCATATTACAATCTTCAAGATTATGGAGCAGGTTCATCATGCACCCGTTTCATCATGCAATTATTTCATGACGAACCAAATACATTATGCACCTGTTTCACTACTCTTGGTTCAATTACGTCATGAACCAGTTTCACTTTCATGAAACCTATTTCATGWACATTAATTTTCTTATTTCACCCGTGATTTGATGAATTCATTCCTTTAACCCTTACAATTTTCAAGATTCTGAAGCAGATTACAATCTTCAAGATTCTGTAACAGATTCATCATGAAATTATTTCATGACGAACCAAACACATTATGCACCCGTTTCATTTTCCACTTCGCCTATTAAATGGATCAACTACACCATCAATGAAACAGGTTCACCATGAAAATGTTTCACTACTCATTGTTTATTTATGACATGAACCAGTTTCACTTTCATGAAACCTGTTTCATTTGTATTAATTTCTTTTTTCAATCATGATTTGATGAATTCATTACATTATGTTTTACAATCTTCAAAATTCACCAACAGATTCAATCGCATCACAATATATTTAGTTCAAAATTTTAAAATTATAATATAATTAAATATTTAAATATTACCATTTATAAAATTTTATTTATTACGTTTTCTTAATTAAGATTTATTAATAATTTCCATATTTAATTGAAAATATTGTAAATGACCGAAATTCCCTTATTAATTAAATTTAATTAGAAAAAAATAGAATTTTCCTATTTGTCAAAATTAGTTTACACGGTTTCTTAGAAATACACGGTTTTCATTTGAACGTTTATATATATATATGGGGAAGATCAAATGTTAACCAACAATTTTGTGTTAACTTTGAAAACCATGACAACCAATCAAATTCCATTCTTCTTGTAGGTTTATGTCATGTTCACATTTTAATTACAAGGGTATTTCAGTAAACTGATTTGATATGTAACTCCCAAACAATTAATGGGGAGTTACAAATCATCAAATCCCAAAAAATATGCATTTATAATATTAATATTTTTATTTTCTTTAATCTTGATATTTCATGTTTATTGTTTTATCAGTTTTTAATTCGCATAGAAAACACGGTAGTAATTTTTTTTGGTATCAATCAAGCTAATATGGATAAACGCAATGGAATATAAATCGACAACAGTGAGAAGATTAAAATGATTTATGATGACAATCGGAGTTCGAGGTCGGAAATTGAAGAAATTAACCAAAGCGAATGTCTTGGTAATAGATTTTTATTTTTTTTTATATTCGTTTTAATCGAAATTATGTTCATTACGATGTGTTGTGTTTTTTATAATTCATCTTGTATTGATAACTTTTTTTTAATTACTAAAATACGTACCTAAATCACATGTTCAAATGGAAGTACATGCACGACCCATTTTCATATTGTCATATTACCGACTTTTATGAATCATGAACCATTGTGTTTATGTTACGTCTATCATATGAACACAAGTGTTATTTTTTAAGTTTGATACCAAATCTTTATATTTGTGTAAGTGTTTGCACCCGATGTTCATAGCGTTGGGGTTATGTGTTCATATATTTTATACGATATGAACAAGGGGTGAACACGATATGAACAAGGGGTTAACAACCATATAAGATCAGAAACATATATGAACAAGGGGTGAACCTTAAACGGTGTGGATGCAATGCATGTATAAAACTCCAATTGACAAAGGATCGCTCCTGAATATGTTTATAATGAAGGAACTATTGTTCACAAGCTGTTCATATCGTGTTCATACATGTTTTATTTATTTATTTCCTTTCGTATAAAAGTTTTTCTTATTATGTTCATATTGTGTTCATAAATGCTATGCAGTCCAAGTTCATATATATGTCAAATTTTTGTTCGCATTTGACACAATGATTCATATATATATAGTTGTGTTCATATGGTTCTTACATTAACAAAAATAAATTAACAAAAAAATCATAGAATTTTTTATATTATAACTCCCAATTAATTAATGATATGGGAGTTACATAATTTTTTTTACCTAAATACCTTTTTCAACTTTGTTCACTTATCTTTATGAAATTTTAAATTAAAAAAAATAATTTTTTATCATGATTAATCACAACCGTTTATTAAAAGATTGAATGGCCAAGATCGATTAACAAAGTTAACATAAAATCTTTGGTTAACATTTGAACCTGTCGCTAAATAAATAAATATATATATATATATATATATATATATATATATATTATAAAAACTTGACAATTTGAATCAAGAACACCCATTTTTTTTCGTTTAATTTCATTTGGCATTTGCATTAACAGAAAGAGGCCTTCCATCCACATCCACAGCCACAAGCATGGGTTCCAATGGTAAACGCATTCCTCCGATCTTGTTTCCTAAACCACCCTCCTTATAATATCCTCCGCCACCACCCACCACCGCCGTTGAAGAAACACAGGCAATTAACGGTTTTGATTGATAATCGGAATATATTATATGAGATCAAGATCCGGTGGCCACCATCACCACCACCATGTCGACATTGATGGCGGTGGACCAACTCAACCAGCTCCGGGATATATTTAACCGGTTCGACATGGACTCCGATGGATCCCTAACTCACCTCGAGCTAGCCGCCCTCCTCCGGTCTCTCGGCCTCAAACCGTCCGGCGATCAAATCTATATGCTCTTCAACCACATGGATTCCAATGGCAACGGTGCCGTTGAATTCGACGAATTAGTGAAAGCCATGTCGCCGGACATGATGACGGAACAATATCTCATCAATCAAAAGCAGCTTCTCCAGGTGTTCCATTCTTTCGATCGAGATGGAAACGGGTTCATCACGTTGGCTGAGCTAGCGAAATCGATGGCCAAGATGGGTCAACCGTTAACGTACCGTGAACTTACCGAGATGATCGAAGAGGCCGATACCGACGGCGATGGTGTCATTAGTTTTAACGAATTCGCAAGAGTAATGGCAAAATCTGCAGCCGAATCCTTTGGGTTCCCAGTTCCATTGCCTTGATGATCTAGAGGGGTAAATTCGTCATTTTGAGTCATGTGTAGGTTTTTTGTATATAGATTTTGTCGACGTTAAGTTCATCCTTGTTTGTCTTCCTAATTGCCTGTTAAGATTGTACAAGGAAGAACCTTAAAACCGATCAATCGTTTGATCAATTTATCGGCAATTATCCGTCAGTTTTAGAGCAGTAGGAAATAAAAATATCAGAAAATACGATAGAAACAAGAATCTTGTAATTAAATTAGGTTTTTTTTTTGTTGGCGAAACACTTTTTCTAGTACACGGTTAGAATAACCGGCAAGAATACTCATGATCCAACCCAAGTGACGAAGATTAAACATGTTGATTCTACCGATACCTGGAGATAATATGTATTAAAATTCGTTAATTCAACGAATACCGAACCCTAAGCTTCAAATTTGAATTCACCGTGAACTCAAAATTTGCAATGAAAATGGAAGGTTTTGAATTTCAAGTGTGACCATCCAAATTACAACACAAACACGCACATAAGACGACCAAAATGAAATGGGCTTGGAAATGACTATGGCTCTATCATAAAAGCCCAAACGAAAAATTAAAAACATAGAAAAACACACAACGTTGTCCAGAAACATATTAAAAAGACGTTTTTAGGTCTCGAAATTCTCATAGGCCCCTGTTTCGAATCAACATATTGTTATGGACCTAAGACGGACCGTAGCAAAATTTATGGTCATTTAAACGGAGCACCCTATTAGCCCGGTCATGGACTTCTAGAAACAATAGAATTTGGTCCTCCACGCCAAAGCCCGCATCACTAGGCCATAGAAACTCTTTGAAAGTTATGCAACATACGAAGAATATGGTCTTTCCAAGGCCGATGAATCTTTTAAAGTGGTGCCATATGTAGTGTTCTCGAATCTGGAAAAAAATAGAAGGAAAATTAAAATGTCCATTCTTTTTGACATATTCCCTTCCAATTTTCATAGCAAAACACGTGGTTAACCTGATACAGTTATTACAGATTTCAATTCTTCTGATATACCAATTTCTTGAATTTGCCCACCCAAGCCTTGAATTTGCCGACAAAAGTAACCGGTTTGGGCCATGTCGAACCATCTCTAATCGACCCGTTTAATTTGAATCAAATATGACCCGTTTTAAATTGACCCGACCCGTTTGTTTTGCAACTTATAATTTATCAGAATGGGTCAATTTTGTGAGCCCAAGAAGCCACATTTTATTCTGAAAAGCCCAACACCATTAAAATTGAGATCCGATTCGATTGACCCGTGGGTGGGTCCGGGTACTTGGAAGGATCCACCGGCTTCGCTCCTTTTCTCGCTCCCACCGTTTCATCAAACACCATCTGTTTCTTTACGACCTTTTCCTCTCCCCCCCTTTCATATTCCAAGCCGTAGAACTATAAAACTCAACTTCATGGATCTCAACCCCACTCTCATCCCTCAGTCGCGTGTCTCTCACGATCCCCTAAACGCCTTCCGATTCACGTGGGCCATCACACCCACGGTCTCAAGCGCGCGTGGACAATCCGTTTCCTGGGATGATTTTGCCCTAGTCGCCTGCGAACGTCCCCCTCTATATCGAGAGCTATCATGCTTCATCGTTTTCATCTCCGATCCTTGTTTTCCGATCCGAATGGAATTGATTTAATTCGGTCTGCGGTACGTAGTTCGTTTGATTCGCGATTTTGATTTTCTTGGTGAGTTTGAAAACCCTAGTTCTTTTGGTTACGTGAGGTGTTTAGGTCTGTAATTCTGTTTCATGTTCGACAGATTTTGATTTTGGTGAATTTTCGTGTAGATCCGTTGATTGTGAGTCTCTTTTGGTTTAATTTCTGGACTAAGAAATCGATATATTTGGCAGATCTGTAATTTAATGTTCGAGAGATGCAATTGTACCGAAATTTGATTTAGATCTGGTGATTACGTGTTTTGTCCGTTGATTCGTTGCGAAAGGAATGGAACCTATAGATATTGTTGGCAAGACGAAAGAGGATGCTTCGCTCCCAAAAGGTTTGTTTGATTCCTTCATTTTCCTCACATGGATTGTTGTATGTTTGCCTACGTCTATTCTTTAGCTTTCTCGTCGTTTGTTGATTTAAATGATACAGTTAAATATGTAATTTTCTCTTGGTGTACGTGGAAATGCAGGCTGATTTTTCAAGTGCCTTAACAATCGTAATTTTTAATTTACATATAAAATGGTTGCCTGGATGATCTCATTTTTTAGTTTAAGGATTGAAAATTGATCGTTTGTGTTCATCAATTATACTAATATGGGTGAGAAATTAATTGATATACCGATAAATAATAGATCACACACACACACTTACCCACAGCCTATTTTGTATTGTCTACAAAGTAATTATTCTGGATGTATGCTGTTCCATCTTCTACCGTGATATTCTGGAAGCTGTTCTGATTTCTAATGAATTTTGATAGTTTTTTTTTTATTTAAGTTGGTTGGTTTCTTCGAAGTTAAAAAGTCTGAATTTTGCTAGTTTTTATCATTAGTTGGAGATACTCTGATTACATTACAAATGGTCATTGGCATGATGTAATAAGTTGATAAAAATGCAAGAGAAGAATCCAGAACTATTGTTTCAATTGACTTAAAGCTTTGTAGTAAATTTATATGGATGTGGACTGAAGGCAAAAAATTTAGTTGACTTTAAGCTTTGTAGAAATTTATTGACATTACATGTCTTTTTGTTGATTCATATTGCTTGTTTAAGTTGTCTGCTGATGAAGTAATTTATATGCTAATGCAAGGTTTTCTGATTGCAGCTACCATGACGAAGATTATCAAGGAAATGTTGCCTCCAGATGTCCGTGTTGCAAGAGATGCTCAAGATCTGTTGATCGAGTGTTGTGTAGGTGAGATTATTTTTCATTCTTTTAGCCATGTGTTGAAATAAACAACTTCAAGATCTACTGGAATATCTCTATTAGTTCGGTGATAGTTGTTACCAAAAAGTTTGCATCTTGCTGCTTGTATGTAGAATTTCTATATGCCTCTCTCTTGTTGTGCCCATCCATTCTTTGGGGTCTCTCTTTGAGCTTTCAGGGTAAGAGTGAGGTAGAGGGATGAAAGAGTTGTTGAAGGTTTTAGAGTTTTAAAGCTATAGGGACGTCATGTTACTTTACTGTTTAAACCACAAGGGTGGTGCCTGATTGGTTTGAGCTTGACTGCAAAGGTCAAAAGTACCAGGAGGTCTCAAGTTCAAATCCAAGAAGGAATAAAATTCCCCTTGTGGCCATGGAGGTTCAAATGCGAGGACTTCGCGCTATCTGCAAAGCATGTGGTCGCCCTAGGATTAGTCGGCTAGCATAGCGGGTTGGATATCCAGGTTAATAAAAAAGACTATATATGGACTCTAGTATAACTTCTATTGTCCTTTGATTTCATAGAGTTCATTGAACTTGTCTAAGAGATCCATTGTGCTTCGTTTTGCAGAGTTCATTAATCTGATTTCATCTGAGTCAAATGAAGTGTGCAGCAGAGAAGATAAAAGAACAATTGCACCAGAACATGTACTCAAGGCATTAGATGTTCTTGGTTTTGGGGAATACATAGAAGAAGTTTATGCTGCATACGAACAACACAAACTTGAAACGATGGTACTTGTTCATTCGTTTGTGGATGCTGCTTATCTTTTTGGAGCTCCTGTTGGTTTGGGTTGAAGAGATTACTTACATTTTTTTAAAATAATTGGACAGGAGACGGTGAGAGGTGGAAAGTGCACAAACAGAGCAGAGATGACGGAAGAAGAAGCATTAGCAGAGCAGCAGAGGATGTTTGCGGAGGCACGGGCTAGGATGAATGGTGTTGCAAATGTTGGTAAACAAGCGGAAGTTGATCCTAGTTTGGAAGCCAAATCGTAGAACCAAGAAAGCTTAGCTTAGCTGATCTTAAATAGGTAAGCTTCTCTTTTCTCTAATCATGTACAAAGTCCTCATGGCTTACTTCTCTCTTTCATTTGTTGGTATGTTAAGAGTAATCTGTACCTTTTTAATTTGTCTATAAGTTTAGTGTAATTAGTAGTAAAGATTTTAGTCTTACATTTTGCAGGTAGATTTTGTGATTTCTCAAATGAAATAGATGGTGACTTGTTTGTTTCTGTGTCTGTTCTTTGTACATGAAAATTATTTAGAACTTGTAAGAGCCATTTGGTTCTATGTCGGACTAAACCATAATTTGGTTTGTTAGGCCTGGTTACAGGATCAGTTAGGTGTTGGACCGATATTAGATTTGGAAATATTAAATGGTTGGGTCCGATCGTATACAATACCATCTTGACTTGATCAAACAAGCTAGGTCCGATTACTGGTCTGGTTTCGTTTAACTGTAACTGTCAAATTCAAATCCTGTTGTTTTGTTCACCTTCTAGAAATGAATGGGATTTTGTTAGATTTCATGGTTAAAGGATTTGATCATTCATTCGTTTGAGTCAAGGAATTGAATTTCATTCTTTTGCAAATCTCACTGATTTCATAATTTGGTTTTAAAAAACAAAAATAACTTTTGCATCCAATTTAACCAACATCGTCACGCCACTGTTGCCATCACCACCAACCATTGCCGTCACAACCGCCACCCATCCACCCTTACAAACGATGCTATTGTCATCATAACAGCCACCACCCACTTGCCCCCTAACCCACAAAATACCACCGTCGCCACTATTGTTGTCACAACCTCCACCCACCCACCCCACCCGATTCTTTGGAGATGTTCCATTTCAATTTTTGCCAATCAAATACATGGTCAAGTTCCATTCCAATTTCTTTAAAGTCAATTTGATAGATTTAATTTTCACCAAATTACATTATAAATGCCGGTTTAAACCTTTGCCCTCCATGACGATGAGGTTAGGGGTACCGCTAATGGCCCTTCGGTTTCATGAAGTAGACTTTTTCAGAAAGCGAGAGGCATATAAAGAAACTAGCTCCTAAATTCTTTTCAATTACCAATTTGGGGGTTCAAATTATGGTGCAATGGGTGATTTGAAGTTACCCACCTTTTTCACTAGAAACCTTCCTTACATTTGCTCCAAAAAATTCCTCTTTCTCATGCCCAATATCTATGAATCGGTTTTAGGGGTGTTTGGGATTGCTTATTTAAAACAACTTATTCTATTTTACAAAAATTCTTATCAACTTATTATAAGTTAATATGACTTAACTTCTTCAAAAATTTCTTATTACCGGTTTGACATCTGTATAACCTGTTTATCCAAACACTCAAAAATGTTATTACCAATGTCACATCAGAATAAGTCAATAAGTTTTTTATAAGCTATCTCAAACACCCTCTATGATAATAAATGAGGTAGAGATGGGGAAGTTCTGGTTGAATCTTTTGTTGCTTTAAATGTGAAATCGGGTGGACCTACCAGATATAGAGATGTAGGGATCAAGGCCCAAATTTGTTAGGTTTTGCTCCCATTTCTAATTACACGTCGTAATCAGTTGCAGGGATGGGTAATAGAACTATGGTTTTCGTCCCTCGAGTTCACTAAGCACTACCATGCTCTTCCGGTTTGTATTACATTACAAAAACCGTCCCTGACCCTGATGTACGTTAAGTCCCTTTACGTGCTAGTAATATAAGGGGTATTTTGGTCATTTTATGTCTTCGTTTATAATTTTTTTACAGGTATGTGTTTTACGAGTACAAACATTAAGCATAAAATAGAACTCGTTAAAATAAACCTTAAACATAAAGCTGCTCGACCCTAAAATTTCAATATTCGCCTACTTTATCTTTCATCTTTACACAATTCTGGAATCAATCTATAATGAAAACAAGTCGAGACGCAATTCTCGAACCATCCTATATCTAATGAAACCAAATATGCAAATCATAACTCAAAATCCCAACATCTCCTTCGTCTCTTCCCTCCTCTCTTTGACGCCATAGATGACTACCACCTTGTGTCGTCGCTCACGACGACACCTTCCCTCTCTCAGTCCTTCTCGAAAACTATGACAATGGTCGACGACCTCCATCTGGGTTTCGAGACGTTCAACTTCGTCGTGCTTGAAGGTTCTTGATGTTTTGCTTCTACCTCAATCTTCTTTTTAGGGTTTTGATATTTTGATTCTTTTTAGGGTTCTTGACGCTTTTCTTCTTTGTTATGGTTCTTGATGTTTTTCTTCTTTTGTTAAATTGAAATGCCTCATGAGATTAGCATGCATGTGAGGGTCACTTAACGGAGCACACTAACGATTTTGGGCTAGGACGATTTCCGTAATGAAATGCAAATGACAGGGACATGGTTGGAATTAGTGAAGTTGAGAGACGAAAACAAGAGTTTTGGTAAACCACATGGATGAAAAATGTAATTCACTCGAAATTTTGGGATATTTTAATTGCATATTCTATCGCTCACCAATATTATTAAATGTGCATCCTATGACCTACTTATTTATATTTATAGTTCTTGAATTTTTTTACTGTAATCTAAACATTGACTAATTTACATGTTTCGTCTCATGATTTATATGTTATGACGTATAAAGTCCTTCTTTTGTGAAGTGATTATGAATTACACCCCTGTGGTTTGTAATTTTATAATGCATTGTGTTCACTCTACCCTAGTTAACTAAGAAGGTATTTTACCTATACATTGCGTAAAATATATATATATATATATATATGTGTGTGTGTGTGTGTGTGTGTACATATGTTATAGATACACGACCCTCTTCATTCCCATATCTCCGACGACAATTCTGAGGAGACATCAGCGGGGAGACATCACCTTCTCCCTTACCCCTTATGCCACATGCCCTCGTCCTTCATCTTCTCCCCTCTACGCCACTATCTTTCTCCCACTATAGCGCCATACTGGACAACGTTTGTTGCTCATCTCCGACCATTACCCCTACGACCCCACCTCAACTAATATCTGGATTCGAGGCCGCATACTTTCCATGGTCGCTGCTACTCTCTGCCACCACTTGCTCTCCATGGCCACCACCTCCCCGCGTCAGTAATCAGATGCCAGATCCATGTTCTTCACCCATGTTCTTCATTTTGTTTAGGGTTTTTGTTTGAAACCGATTTAAGGGTTATGATTGTTTTATTTAGATTTAGAGTTTTTGTTTGAAATTGTATATGCTTTATGATTGTTTAGTTTAGTGAATTTTTTGTAACATATGTGTTTTCGTTAAATCCATACTCTCTTAATATATTAAAAGAAAATCTGTTTATACTGATATAATAAAATCATAGATTTAAATAAAATCTTATTTAAGATTACATACCAAAATATCTCAATTTTAGCCATTCGACATCCAAAACAAATGAACAAAAAATTATTGACCAAATTTTATTCAATCCCGTAAAATTATATCGAATATATTTATTTATCATTCACCCTTTTGTTTCTTTTTTATTTAGTTTTAATTTACTCCATTAACTGAAACTTACAACATACATTTTTTTTATTAACTTGGATATCCAACTCGTTATGCAAACCGACTAATCCCAGGGTGACCACCTGCTTTGCAGATAGTCCGGAGTCACCGCATTTGAACCTCCGTGGCCACAAGAGGATTTTTATTCGTCCTTGGATTTGAACTGAGACCTCCTGATACTTTTGACCTTTGGAGCCAATCTCAAACCAATCAGGTACCACCCCTATGGTTTCAAATTTTTTTTATCTAACGGATGGATGTGGGTTCTTGTGGTAATTAATCAAACATACATATCATAAGGGTATGAAATTGAATAAATATAAAACTTTAGGGGTATAAGTTGTAACTTTAAAATTAAAGTTGAAACTTACCGTTAATTAATTTTGGGTCCATAGCAATGTGTGGTCAAATATAAGTTCATAGAGACCCTTGGTTGGCCATGGAATATACATCTAATAAATTGATGGGCCATGAGATATGCATATTGCATCATTATTGCATGGATTATTTACCGAATACTTATTTGGTAACTGCTTATCGGTAAAATTTAACATTATTATTTATTTGGCAAGTAAGATTTTAGTCCACCAAAACGACATCGTATGTAACAATTTACCCGGTAAGCGCTTACCGTGGTAAGAGTTATCGTCCTTATTTACGGGGTAAGACTCTTGGTCGTTGTCTTGCTCTTACCGGGTAAAATTGAGTGACATCAACAAAAATCTTTATATTCAATTTAAAATATATAACTAAACATTAAAATGCCAATAAATTATTCCAAATTATTTACCGTGATCTTTATGAAACGTCACATATTATTTGAACTGTAAGGGACGAAAATGTTACAACATAGACAGATAAAATACAAACGTCTGATGTAATCCTGTCTCATCTATAAGAACCATACTGCTTACAAATAACAGTATTGATGTCGTTCCTTTACGACAACTTTTAGTTTCAACAAAACCGAGCCGCACCGGATGTCTAACTTGTGGGGGCCTTGACCAGGGGTGGCTCGATCTTTGGGCACAAAAAGCCAAAGCAAGAGCCATGTTTTTCTTATCTGCAGTTGGATGTGAGTTCTTGTGGCAGTTTTGGGACAGGGGCATGATGGTAATTTCAGCTGCTTCAATTATCACAATGTTACCTTTGGTTTATGATGTATCCAAAATGCCTCCTAGTCAAACAAACACACAGACACACACAAGTCAGTCAAATTATTTCCCTAACCCCACATCGAAAGTGAACTTACATATTGACCCTTGTCCCCCCTTCCCCCCTTTTTTCTTTTCTCATGTGAAATTACTAAAATACCCCTGTCGTGTTTTTTTCTCCTTGCAAAACTCCAATTCTACGGATCCGTATTGCAATTCGACCTACACCTGTTTGAAATTCGAACTAAACAAGCCTTCATGTAAATCTTGAACTCTATATTCCATGCCAACATTCCATTTGATGATATATTCTTTTTCCAGTCTAACGAGCTTTCATGTGGATCTTGAGCGCTAGATTCAATGTCAACATAACCGTAATATGGTTTTGTGGTACTTTTTATAAGACGAAACTAATCGACTTCAAAATGATATACAACTTTTATTGCATAATATACAACTCTGTATGTATATTATTGTGTGTGTAATTTGCAGTGTATATATATATATATATATATATATGTATAGATTGCCTAGAATCTTGTAAAGTTTGGATTTTGCTTTGCATTCTTTTTGTTTTCTTGAAACCTTCACCCCTCCACTGGCATGTTCTTTGGTCATTTGGTACAGTTGGTGGGGTTGCTTCTGTTTCTTTTTTCTTTGGGGATTCTTTACCTCTGCATATAAAACCACCAATTCAAATGGTGGTCGCTTCTGATTAGTTTGAGCTTGACTTTAAAGATCAAAAGTATCAGGAGGTCTCCGGTTCAAATCAAAGGAGAAATAAAAATCCCTTTGTGGCCACGGAGGTTCAAATACGGTGACTCCGGGCTAACTGCAAAGCAGGTGGTTGTCCTAGGATTGGTCGGCTCGCATAACGAGTTGAATATCCAGGTTAATTAAAAAAAAAAAAACTAAAATAAGAACTCCTGTTTTCCAGAGCTGGGACTTGTGGAATTCAGTGTGCCACACAAGCTATAAAGCATAATGTATAAGTTGGTAATTGCTACATTACTCTGAATTTATCAAATTTATCTCTGGTAAAACTTAAATGAGCAAAGATGATGGTAACGTTATGTTGATTTAATTCTTTAAAATATCCAAAAATACCACATTTAAATCAACCACCATTTTTATTTCATTAATGCATATCTTATTAAAATTATAAAGTTTAAGCCCAAAATATTATATCAAAATTTTGATTTTATATATAACTAGAAGGGTATTCGTGCAATGCAACGAAATACATCTTAATTTTAATATTTTATTTTACTCTTTATCTCAGTCGATTTTATAATGGTCTTATTTGATTTTTAAAAAACGATAATGTTTTTATTTTTTTTAATAAAATATAAATTTGAAGATATAATAAAAATTTGACAAAAATATATCGATATTAATATCAAATTAACTATTTAAAATTCATCATTTTTTGTGCAATTTTTAATCCAATTTTTTTATAATTTAATTTATGTACAATAACGAAGTAATTTATATTTGGTTTAATAATATAATTTTCTTATCAAGATAATAATTAATTATCTTGTTAGAATTTGGTAATTATCCTAATTATATTTTAGATTTTTTATATTTTAAAATGAGATGTTTATCCTCTATTTGATTATGTTTATCCGTAGTTAGTTATACGAATTCAAACATGAAGCTTTAATAAGTTGTACTTGTGCATAATTTACTTGTAACCTTGAATTTTAAGTAATATGCATTAATATACAATACTTCATGCATAAAAAATGATTTTTAAAAGTTTTTGTCAAATGCTTTATAATATAGTATAGATTTGGAAAAAAAAAATCAAAATTTTAAACTTTTCATTTTAAATAATTAATATGAAACAAACTTTAAATTTTACATTACTCGCCACATCAACATGATAACCGGTTAATAGTTCAATCGGTTAGCCGAGTACTTAAAAAACTTTACATCTTAGATACCAAAAGTACGATAAAAAAAACTTATTACAAAAATGCCATCCGACAATGTTATGTGAAGAAAAGGACGTATTTTAAGTCCATGTTTACATATAAAGAAATATCACCCACAAATCCATAAAAGAATCAACAACCTGTGTCTTCCCTCTCTTTAAGAACTTGCCCTTTGCTTCTCATTTCCCATTACTACCACCTGCAACACTCAACTTAACCATGGCGAAGACTTGTATGCAAGACAAGAAACACTTCCATTGGTCAAATAAAGTCAGCAACGAAGACGAAGAGCAATACCAAGAATCCCCACCACCACCACCACCATTATCATCCTTCAATTCTTGCCCCAAGAGTAACACCACCGATCAACCATCGCTAACAAGAAAGAAGCTTCAAGCAGTCACCATCGCCAGATTCCGATCAGTTGTTACTGCTCTCACTAAGAATCGAACAAGCCTCCTAAACGGCCTAGGACCTAGAGTCGTCGGAACCCTATTTGGATCCCGGCGAGGCCATGTTTATTTCGCCTTCCAGAAAAACCCCACCTCTCAACCGGCTTTCTTGATCGAACTTCAAACTCCCATCAGTGGTCTGGTTAAGGAAATGGCTTCTGGGCTCGTTAGAATCGCATTGGAGTGTGACAAAGAAGATAAGACAGCGGTGAAGAAGGTGGGCAACACAAGACGACTGTTGGAGGAGCCTGTTTGGAGGACGTATTGCAATGGGAAGAAGTGTGGTTTCGCCATGAAAAGGGAGTGTGGGGAGAAAGAATGGAGGGTTCTGAAAGCTGTGGAGCCGATATCAATGGGAGCTGGGGTGTTGCCGGCGCCGGAGAAAAAAGTCGCCGGAGAAGAGGAAGATGGTGGGGTCATGTATATGAGAGCCAAGTTTGAGAGAGTTATGGGGTCGAGAGATTCAGAAGCTTTCTATATGATGAATCCTGATAGCAATGGAGCTCCAGAACTGAGTGTTTATTTGCTCAGAATTTGAGGATTCAATTGCAGAAACTGGAATCTGAAAATCTAAGAACCAAACTCGACTTGTTTTTAGTTCTTTGTAGTTGAAGACTCTTTTTCTTGTTCTTGCTTATCCGGTCATAGAAAATGGAAAAGGACGAGTTTATTGTAATTTGTAGTTTTATGAGGGGTGGAATGGAAAATATACATATTATTATTTACTTCATCTCTTTGTAATAAATATCTGATTGGTTTGAGCTTTGCTTCAAAGGTTAAAAGTACCAAAAGGTGGTACCAGGTTCAAATCCAAGGAGGAATATAAACCTTCTTGTGGCTACGAAGGTTCAAATACGGTGATTCTAGACTATTTACAAAGCAGATGATCATTCTGGAATTAATCGGCTCGTATAACGGGTTGGATGTCCAGATTAATAAAAGAAGAAGAAGTTGGGTATGATGATTAAGGGCAATAATTAGATTGATGATGATTTGTATTCCCAAACTCATGTGTTGTTAATTAAATAATTAACAGTGGAGATTCTTTTTCACTTAACTAAAAAACAAAACTTAAGAACACTCCAAAAAATAAATGCCACCTACCCTAAACACCAAACCTTTCTTTATGCATTTAGGGCATTAATTGTTCTACACTTGTCTATCTTTATAGGCTTCATTTAGTCTCTCTATCCAAATGCTTATCTACATAAGTCAACACTATAATTTATTTCAATAAGATTTTAATACATCAAAACGTATTGAATGCAATAATTTATCGAGTAAACGCTTACCTGGATAAGAGTCATGATCTTCACTTACCGGGTAAGACTCTCCATCCTTCTCATTGCTCTTACCCGGTAAGATTCTTGGCCCTTGTCATGTTCATTCGATAAGGAAATATATTTGGTAAGCACTTACCAAATAAGCGTTTAGTGAATGGACCCTTAAAATGAATGACTGAAAATATTTAAATTCTTTGTTCAAATTATATTGCAAATACATATTATAGTGCACCCTTTAAAAGAAAATTTCCTAAATTAAAATTTGGAATAAAATATTAATATAATTTACTATATAATTAATCTTTGATTTGTTTTTTAAGATTGTGTGTTGTTATCGTAATATTTATTGATTAAGTTTTTAGTAATTGATTAAAAAAACCCATGTGAGGGCCTTGATTATTAGCTGCTAAAGAACAATAGGACCCAAAATATATCTGAACTGTCTAGTTAAATATGCGAGTTTGAACAGGGGATTAAACCAAAATTGTCATATTTATCACTGTAATAAGTAAAATCAGTATGATTATTAGGAACACAGTTTGACAAAGAGGTGACGAAATTTACAGAGTAGCAATACGATAAACAATAAGTTAATAAAAAAAAAAGATAGAACACAATTAGGTTTTCTAAATAAACTTTCAACTACAATTTTGCCTGATAATTAAGTGACCATGTTGTCTAAAAGCAACACATATGTTTTGGATCAATTAATGTCGATTATCGAGGTACATCATATATCACATCGATCAGTAACCATTTGTACCGACACCTTCTCATTCTTCACAAAACTCTGTATACATCAATTATAAAACTTGAATGATTTTGTCATTTTTATAACCATCATACGTGACACTTGGTTTTCAAATAACGATCGTACTTAGCAAAACCTTTAAAAAGTATCGCATACGAACATTTCTTCCTTTATTTTGATTGTACAAAACTGAAATTAATCCGTTATCGAGAAACGAAGGTAAATTATACCCACAAATTAATTTTGATTTCAAAATTATATGTTGCAAACAACTATAAAATCGAATATTCTAACAAATATTTGACAAATATGTCACATGTATTATTAATTATTCTCTCCATCACATTTATGTTTGTCTTAAAATAAATGTCTATTTAAAAAAAATAACTGAATTTGCAAATTTACCTTTAATTATACATAAATATTTAAGAGTTCATAAGATAGATACATTATATAAGAGTAAGTTGTCATTTGATTAACTAAAAAGTATAATAATTATTTGTATTTAGAATTATGTCTCTTCTATTGTTAACATTTTATTTTAGAACGAAAAAGGAGATTTTGGAACGTATCTGATATAGAGAGGTTAGCAAACATGATCGAGAACCAGCTTAAAATCTTAAAAAGGCAAAAACAGAAAGTCCCATGACTTTCCACGTGACCAAAAAAATCATCGGAAAAGCCGCGCCAAGCGCTAGAAACGAAAACAGGGGAAATAGTAGGTCCCGCGACCTTCCCCATGGCTAAAGCCAAGACCCTTTCCGCGTAACTCACTGTTTACTTTCCCGCGGATAGCCACACGACTAAACCTGCGGGGCTAGTCGCCCGCACCCTCCAGACGGGTCCACCATCTGGTTTAAGCTGCTATTCTATTTGATTATTTCCTTTATATTTTAATTATGTAATTGCTTTATAGTTTGATAAGAGTTACTTTTAGCCATTATTTTCATTATTTAGAGTAAATTACACTTTTGGATTTCTTTCGTTTTTTCGATTTAGGGTTTCTAGTTTGATTGATGCTCAAGTTTCATTTGATCTAAAACCTAGTTCATTCATTTGCTTATTGATTTCAGTTAAGATTAGGACGAGGATTCAAAATTTGTGCTGGGACATTTAGTTCACTCTTTGATACGGGTCGCCTGGCCCGACAGATCGAAGGAAAACGCAATCGAATTATTTAGTTTCCTTTTTACTGCTTGTCTTTAATTATTTAGTTTCCTTTTTTCTAGACGTTTCCTATTTTATAGACGTTTCCTATTTTCTAGACGTTTCCTATTTTCTAGACGTTTCCTAATTTCGTTTTATTTCCTAGTCTATTTAAGAACCATGTTAATAGCTATTTTGGAGGAGATTAGATTATCAATACAACCTAGTTTTGCTTTGCTTACCGTTCTACGAATTCTTGTTTAATTTCACGCTTGTGGAATTTATTTACTTTTCGGTTGACGCTGGTCGATCCTATTCCACGCAACCTACTGCGTCACTCTTTGAACAAGATCTGTACATTAACTTGTTCGTGCTCAAACTAGGGTTCTTGTGACAGGTTACTTTTGAATCGATTGCTGGTGTTTATTCTCAAACTAGGGTTCTAGAGTTTTTTTGTTGTTGCTCAAACTATGGTTCTTGTGACGGGTTTCTTTTAGATCGATTACTTGCTCAAACTAGGGTTCTTGTGACGGGTTTTTTTTTTTTTAATAGAGTACTTACTCAAACAAGGGTTCTAGTCTTAGAGTTTGGGTTTTTTTCTCTTGAGATGAGTTTATTCTGATATCAGGGCTTTGATGATATATTGTTCTCGTTGATATTTTTTTTTTCAAAATTGAATCAATATTTAGCATGATTAATCTAATTAAAAAAGAAGACTAAAAACATATGATACAAAGATTTAAAAAAAAGTAAAAAGACCAAAATGCCCGTGAGTTAATTTGATGGACCAAAAGAGAAACATAGTGGCAGCCACAATTCAAATCCGAAACAAAGTGGCAACCACAGTGATCTAAATTGTAATTTTAGTTTAAAAGAGGGATGAAAGTTAATAGTGGGTGATAATCATAGGGACCAAAAGTGTAGTTTACTCTTATTTTTATTCGAGTGAATTACATCAATGGTTCTGTGGTTTGCTTAAATTTTGGATTTGGTTCTAACAAAACTATTTACATTGGTGGTTCTTAATTTTTCATTTTATAATATTCATGGTCCCTTTACTTAACAATGTTAGTTAGCAACCATTATTGAAGAACTCATTGGTCTTTGAACAAACTGTAAGGACTAAAAATGCAATCTGCTTTAAAGTATAATGTAATTTACATTTTTTTTAATTTTTTTATGCATCCAATCACAAATCAAATATCTTAAATAAAAATCTTTATATTGATTTTAAAAACTATAAAATTCACAAAAAAAAAAAAAAAAACTAACGCTAAAAATATCAAGTTAAGAAAAACAAAATAAATTGAGACAAATTCACATATATTTTAAGTTGGAAATTGAAATATGTGAGCAAAATATTGAAAATTAAGTTCGATTAACTGATATTATTAATATATAGTCAAACTACAAATTACAACAAAATAGAAATTATGAATTAAGGTTAGAAAAACACTAATTATTCAAACAATTAAGAAAAAATATCACTACAACAAAATTGGGTTTATAAGACGGCAAAAAAATAAACGTCATAATAGACCACTTTATAAGACTTAACTTATAGGACCAAAATAAAGCGTACTATCTAAATGTATTTCAATAAGTTTATAAGAAGATTTTAGATGTACTAACAAGTTTTTAGAATACTTATAATTATGGGTGCTCAAAAACCCGACCAACCAAACCCAATGCGAAATAACTGAACCTGAAGCAACCACATGTCTAATCGAGTTGTAAAATTTTCAAACTGTAGGTAGTGGATTGATATTGAGTTACTATTTTTGAACTCAACTCAACCCGATGAACCCAATATTCTTTTATTTTTTGAATTTAATATGATTGTTGAATTTCTATTAATATATACATTAGACAATTACACTATCACATATACTTTTCATATACACATATTTTCAATCTATTCATATCTTTATATAACTCATTTGTATATATATTTAGTAACTGTGAACATATATATGTAAATTACGAAAATTAACTGAATGTGATAAACCTAAGAAGTATGGATAAGTTGTATCAGATGATTGATGATAAAAAATAGTCATGAGTAGAGAAATAACATATTCAACGTTAAAAGAATATTTTAATGTACCAATGTATCAATTCGACTAACCCGCACGGTTTGGGTTACACTTTGGTTTGGATTAAAAATTTTCAAAACCGCAAGCATTGGGTAGGGTTGTTCAAATGTCTTCAACCCGATCAACCCATGAGCACCCTTACTCATAATACAAAACGTTGCATTAACAATTTTATATGATACTATTTAAAAAAAAAATTCTACAAAAGCAAACGTCCTATAAAAAGATGAGTTTTTAGGTCGCTTAATTTTTTCTGATATGTGATTTATTTCGATACCGTTTGTTTTTCAAAACTTGTGATTTTTTAACGCCAACTCTTTTATGAATTTTATAGTTTTTAAATAAATATAATGATTTTTATCTATAATATATTTTAATTAAGATATTTGATTTATAAATGTTAATATAAAAT